CTACACCTCTACGGATACAGCACATATGTTCCTTGGGGATGCCACAATTTTCCTCTTCTTACCAGAATTTTCGCGCTCCTTGTTTTGATAGTGGTTTGCATCTTGCAGTAGCGTATTGAAGTTTACAGCTTCTTCCTTGGGAGACGAGGCTTGATAAACGTTTAAACGGTAGTGTTCCAGGCTTGTCTTTGGTTGAGAAATTTCTTGTTGTGTTTTGACGGACATTTCTTCCATGGACTCAGTGATGCCCACTGTCGAAGCTCTGCCATCTGCTTTGGTGCCAACAAACCCGTACCAGGCTTAGGCAGTTTCGCCAATTCCGAAAACTGGATGAGAACATCTTTCATTGAGGGCTGAAGATAGTAGGAAGCCTTTGGATTAGTGAAGTAGTTGAATGAAGTCCTCGTTACTCTTTTAAGCAGTTCATTTGTGCATCTTGGAAAACGCAGGCAGAAATCTAGTACTGTCGGTGTGACCGTATTTCCACCTCTCATACTTGAGAAGACGTTTTCTACAAAAAGTGTCTGTAAACTACGAACATTAGTGTGCTTCAAGTACTCTTGATTGAGTTGGATTTCCTCTTCTTTGAGGCGGTTTAGACCTACAAGGATCATTTAAATTTGTTAAAGACAGAGTTCCATCTGGTCCTTGTGTTTAAGCAGTGGATCACTTTATCTGCTGTACCTTCAATGACGCTTTATCAAATGCAATCACAATATAAATATACTTTATACCTGAAATTAAAAAACCCCTGATATACCAAATACCCATATTTCAGCTGAAAGATACCGTATACCCGATTAAAAAACCCTTGTATACCGTATACCCAAAAACCCTGGCCGACCCTGACCTCTGCTGCTAGTTTAGGGAAGGAGGCGGATGTACACAGGCTAAAACGTTGGTAGCCCCGACGAAAATATAAATACAAGTGCTATACGATCGATTCTACGTGGATGCCTCGATTCTATGTAATTGTTTCGATTCTTTGTGTACACAATTTTTTTATGTACGCCGGAGCGTAGGTTGTCGAAGCTGGCGGTTGTCGAAAAAAAAATACGGGTCTAGTTGCCACACAGGGCTGGGGCGGGAGCTGGGGAAAATGGGGGCTTCCCTGGGGGTAAAAACTTTGTTGTGTGTGGAAGGTGCGGGAGTTGAAATCTCGGCTCCTAGGGGGTGATGGTATTTGACTTATCCCAGATATACTTCTAATCCACAAATACGTACCTCAGCTCATGCCTATGTGTACTTCGTGTAAACCCACACAAAAATGGATTCCACGTGAGAGGTTTATGACAATGTTCTATTGGGAATGGATCAACCGTTTTCGGTTGGTTTGGTTGATCAACTTTTTCAACCGGCACCAAACTATGTTTCAACAGAAAATGGTTGGAAAAGTGCTCTGTTGGGAACCGTTTCAACCTATCCTGTTGCGGTTGAAACGGTTGATCCCAGTAGAACACGACCTTTATACTAGTACCAGCTAGTAACCAGGCGTTCCCTTCCCGCGTACTCGATTTGGCGCGAACGACACGCAAACGACGCAAACCCGTTCCCAGGTCTTTACGTGTACTTCGCTCTCTCTCTCTAGAGAGAAAGAGAACGACTAGGGAATGGGCTGACAGAATGTAACAAAATTCCAAGAATCAAGAATTCTCCGAAGTGACTTCTTCACGGTCATACAGACTCTTTGTTCCAAGAGATGTCTTTGATGTCTTCATCGCGTAACTCGAAGAAGAAGACAATTCGCCCAGCGATGTAGCGCTCGAAGAAGTCAACAAATACATGAAAGAACTTTCGACATTTTAAAAGCGAGAGTCGAACCGAGTTCGTAAGGAAAAGGAAGCTTTGGACGAGGCAGCCAAGAAGCTTGAAGACGTTCACTTCTCGAAAATGTTAAAACTCAATGTCGGCGGCCACCTTTTCTCGACCAGTTTGGCAACCCTGAACAAAGATCCAGGTATGTTTTGAAATTATCTTTATTATCGTTTTAAATGTCTACTGATGGAGTGGTAAAAATGGTGTTATGGATCATGAAAAGATTGGAATGGAAACTGTAGATCATGTAGACTAAAAAAAACGGGTCTGCGAGGGGCAGTTACATCTTCCTTTAACTACCAGGCAAAGAAACAGTTGGAAACAAATGCGTGACAAGTGAAAAACCTGCGTTTACACACGACAAGGGTCAACAAAAGTATTTTTTACTGCTACGTAGGTATTAAAACATTAACCGTTTGTGTTATGTTTCATCAAGAAATATTTATGCCAGTACGATGTGTTGTTTTAAATAGTAAATTGTACTCCTTTAAAACCTGTGGTATTTCACCTCTCAAATGTTGACGTTTCAATTCTCGATCTGGGGAGGGCATAGGTAGTTCTTTTCATCCCGACTATATCAATCAATGAAAAACAATCATTGATTGCCAATCAATATAATCAATAATAATCCATTGATTGATATGATTGATTGATTGATTGATTCAACCAATCAATGAAAATCGATACTCACTCACCTGAGTCTTCTTAATTGCTATTGATTATTATTGAATGCTATTGATTATTATTTATTTTTATAGATAATCAATAAATGATTGCACAACAGTAAAAACCCATCACGGCGTTTGGTAATGTGGCGTTCGCGTGATATATTTAGGCTGTGGTAATCCGATTGTACGCACTTGAGTACGACATATTTGTAACTGCATGGCCCATAAAATGTCCAAGCAAGAAGCCCAACTTTCAATATTCTGCATCTGCAAAGGATACGTACCACCAGTGCCTTTTTTAACGTAACCTGCGATCAGGCCAATTTTCCGCGCTCCTTAATACATTCTCTTTATGGGTGTCCGCTAAAAATGGGCCTGATCCAATTCTTCTACGGTTTGTCTGCAAATTACAGATCACGTCCAGATTTTGGACGTGATTTTAATGAATCTGATTGGCTGATTCAACAATAGAGCTCCGCCGGAAGTAAAGCAACTGCGCGTTGCGTGGAGAGTCAAGCGAAATCCGCCATGTTGGAAAGAGGCATTTCTTGTGTTCTTGTTCAACTTTTTTCATCAAAGGTCGATGAAATCAACCTTTTCAGGATTTTTTTTTCGGTTTTTGAGTATTTTGGGAAGTTAACAAGGCTTACAGTTACGAGGTTACGTTGGATTTTCTGTCCACGAACGACTGGAAGACTTTGAATTTCCGAAGAATACAGCTAAGCTTGTATGTCGGCTATTTACCTACACATGTAGCTGTCTGTTATTTGGTTTTGGGTGCTTTGCATGTACATGACAGCCTCTGTATTTGACCCTTGTTTCGTGGATGGAAGCCGCTACTTAGGACAAAGGACAGTAAGCAGTACGAGAATATTGTATATTTTAATGAAGGCTTATTTGTTTCTGCGTGTTTAATATATACTTAGTAGTAATATTCAAAGACATAAGCTTGTTTATGTAAAATTTTTCATTGAATGTATATAAGCTTATTAAGCTTTTGAAACGTACAGTGTTAGAACGACTTATATAGCAAAATTGGATAGAAAAACAAAATCAATATTTCTACAATAATAAAGTAAGGGATATATCAAGTTGCAACCAAAGTTATGGCTATACTGCCTTGAAAAATCCTTTATTTGTTGACAGTGGTGTTTATATAAATATGTATAAACCGAATTAGTAAACGACCTGAAATTTATCCAAAAGGTGGTTTGCTGGACTTTTCACTGACTATAATTAATAAGACCACTGAATCAGATGAGAATTAACGCAACGTAATAAAATTTACCAATATGAAACTTACTTAAATTCATCTGGCTAGGCAGTGGGGTCAACCACCCTGTTACACCCAGGGGTATATGTTTGTAGCGCTTGTTCCTAGGCAATTCCAGATAATGAGAGGCATACGGCCGTAGGCGGTCAATGAGCGTGAAGAGTTGGGCCCAATCCCCGTCACCACTCCCAATATTATCCGAATGCCTGTTACAAGACACTAGATTTTTTGCTTAGGGAATAGAAGGAGATGGCATTTGATTGATTGCCCCTGGGTTGGGGAAAATACTATACTTATTTAGTATTGGGTGCATTCATTTGAACCCAACAACTTCCATGGTTTGAAACATTCCTGAATGTTCCGACAAGCTTAAGAGGTATACCCAAATTTTCTGGCAACTTTTTTCTGGAACATATTTTGGGTTGAATGGAAAGTGTCCATGAGATGTTTTAAGTTGCAATGAATAGGGTGGGGGAATTCACAAGTTTGTAAATCATGGACAACAACGAGTGCTGTGGTCCAGGACATATTACCGGTAGTATATCAGATGAAAACCTTACTATGGGGACTTTCAAACGGTGGTGAAAAATAACGGATATCAAAATTGTACAAAATACAGAAGCCTGTGCTCAAGATGTTAATATAAACTGTTTGACTTTACAAAATCAACAAATGAAGTTTAAAAATCAATGATACACACAAGACTATCGCACTGGAAAAATCAGTGGAATCACTGAGGAACCAAATCCCTCCTCTATTAGGGACTGTGCATATCGGTGATTATCACAAGGAGAGGGTGAGGGGAGGAGGGGGTGGAAAGAATGTGGTGTGCGCTTCATGGTAGAGAACAAATCATTGAGAGTAGATAGGACCAAAAAAAACCAGCCTCCTAAAGGGGGGGTGGGGTGAATTGAAGTTTTTATTGCCCCCAAAACCACAGGCCCTCTAATCATCGCATCAGAAAGTTATGTACTACCCCACTCCCTCGCTGCGAGTATACACAACACTCTTTAGTAAAACTAGAACGAGGAGAAAAAAATACCCTGCCATTTTTCTCTACACGCACCTGTAGATTTACAAATTTTATAACAGAAAAACATGTTGTTACATTTATTATATTGTTTGGACATCGCGTCTGGAACAAACATCCACCGCCATTAGCAATGCTACAACATAGCCATAGCAGAAGGAAAAATAGAGCATGAAAAAAGAACCTAGTTATATGGGCCTTAGCTCCCACGAGT